TTCTCTCTTTCTCTCTTCTCTCTCTCTCTCTCTCTCTCTCTCTCTCTCTCTTTCTCTCTTCTCTCTTTCTCTCTTTCTCTCTTTCTCTCTTTCTCTCTTTCTCTCTCTCTCTCTCTCTCTCTCTCTCTCTTTCTCTTCTCTCTCTCTCTCTCTCTCTCTCTCTCTCTCTCTCTCTCTCTCTTGCTTTCCTATGTCTCTGCCTCCCTCCCAGAGCCTGTGACCTGCCTCGCTCCCCCTCTCTCCTCAGTGCGTGACCAGCGCGGCTCTCTCGGCTCCGGCTCGACCTGCTCTGCCCCCAGCGGACAAAGGGCCGGACGCTCCTGGTCGCGCCGCACGCTGTAGTCCAGCTCATTACTCGGCGCTGCGGGGGCTCGGGCTGGCCACAGATTCGCTAATGATTGACCCCGCCCCGGGACGGAGCCGCGGAGGGCTGCGCCGATGGCCCGGCAGCCAGCAGACCGCCGCCGCCGCACTGTCAGCCTTTACCGGGAATGTGACCTTTGTCATCGCGGAAACGTTCAGTGGGCGATTGTTACGCGCGTGACAAACGAGGGCGCAAGCTACGTGAGCGACGCCTCTCTCACGGTTTTTGGCCCACATTGAGCTAGGCCACAAGGGAAATGAGAAATAAAAGACCTTCTAAAGGGTAACTAAGCTCCAGTATGACACCTTTTGGTCAGCTTATGGCCTTCATGGTCAGATAAACCGGAATCCTTGCAAATTCAGAGGATAAAAATGATTGCTGCCTATTCCACGGCTTATCGTCTTAATGCGCGCTACGGTGGGGTCAGTTTGACCCCCGAAAGTTTTTCCGGAACGGTTTCCGAACGGCGCGATGTACCGCGCTAAATTTTTGCATTATATATATATATATACATATATATATATATATATATATATATATATATATATATATATATATATATATATATATATATATATATATATACATATATGGCCTGATTTACCTAGTACACCGTCACTGATTACACGCGATGCACTTGTTGGATGTTTTTGGTCGCCTTCATTCGCTGGACATTGCATCGTTTGGCGCTATTGTGAACTTTATGGTTTGCTTACGTTGTGTTGAAGGTTTTTTTGCGACTATGCTTACTGAACTGCAGAGTTGAATGTTCATACTAAAGCTATCTATACGACTGCTAACGTCCACATATCTTCCGGGAACTACTCATCGCGTCGCTCGGCCGATGAGCCGGCGTGCCGGGACACGTGCGCCGAACGCACGGCTCGCGCCGCTGACGGGGTCACCGACCCTTGGGACATGCGACAGGTCACGGCTGGCCGCAGGGCCGTCTGTCTTCCGTCAGTGGGCGGGTGACGCCGAGTCAGCTGCGGATGCAGGCGTGAGCGTGGCCGGGGCGGCTGTTGGCCCATGCCGGTCGCAGCGTCACCGAGCGTCTGAGAGTAGACATCAAGAAACGACGGCTGCCGGTCGCAGCGTCACCGAGTGTCTGAGAGTGGACATCAAGAAACGACGACTGCCGGTCGCAGCGTCACCGAGTGTCTGAGAGTGGACATCAAGAAACGACGGCTGCCGGTTCGCAGCGTCACCGAGCGTCTGAGAGTGGACATCAAGAAATGACGGCCGCCGGTCGGACTAGCGGAGTTTTCTAACGGACTAGCGGATCCAGATGTGACTCACGACATTTACAGCTTATGCTGAAGCCACCTTTTTCTCTTCATTTCTGCTGCTTTTCCGTTACTGACTGTGGGTTCCCTCGTGATATCTGTTTTTTGCTTGTCCTTTTTACTGCCGTTCCATTCAGTCACGTTTACCTATACGCATCTGACGACATTCTTGTCTTAGATCTGCTCTGTGCGTTTGTCGCTTCGCCAGCTCCGAATGCGTTCTTCGCTGTGTGACCTCTCCCGTATGCCCGCTTCCCTGTCTGTCAGATGTCACCTCTCCCACCTGACACCCGACCAGTTTGTCATGTCACCCATCTGCTTCCCTATGTCGTGTCTTGCACCCCTCTCCGTGTGCGACGCCCCTCTCCGTGTCTGACGCCCCTCTCCGTATCAGATGCCCCTCTCCGTGCCTGACGCCCCCCGTGTCTGACACCCCTTCCGTGCCTAACACCCCCCTTCGTCGCCAGATCTCGGCGCTCGTCAACTCGACGGAGCGGTGTGAGCGCTCGCCGTTGCGCTCTGAGCAGCGCGCGGCCGTCACGCGCGTCGGGCAGGCCGTCAGCCTCGCTGTCGAGCGCTTCGTCACCGTCGGCGAGACGATCGGTGACGACAACCCCGAGATCAAGGTCGACATGTACGAGGCCTGCAAGGAGGCGCGTGCTGCCGGTGAGTGAGGGCCGGCCGCCGGCGCGCTGGTCCAGTGGCAGCGGCGAGCGCCGGTGGAGGCTTGCCTCCGGTTTCAGGGTGCTTTGAAGAATCAGAGTCAGGGCTTCAAGCGCGGCGCCAGGCAAGATGGCCGGCAGGGATGTGGACGAGGCAGGCGTTTTCAGGGTCGGCTTTTAGCTAAATGTGTTGTGCAGGCCAGAGCACGCGGCACAGTTGGACTGGAGAAGCTGGGTTTGGTGTCTCGAAGCACCTCGAAGCCACTCGTGCTTTTAGACAACAGATCTCGTTGACTGGTAATCCTAAGTGAAGTGTTGGGTCAGAGAACGCTTTTAGTGCTAGCCTCATCTCAATCAAACTTGAACTGGTCGCAGCCCTGAAATGCCAAGACTTTAGGCATACAGACAGTGGGCCATATCGATGGAGACTTAGCCCTGACCCCGTGCGTGAATTCGACACACTTTGAATGTCAGAGATGAACACACAAGTCGCCGTCAATAGCGACGCTTACGTGTCACGTGACAGAAATGACTTAAATCAAGCGTTAAGCATGAGGTCTGACTACCCTTCTTAGCATCAGGCGTGGCCAAGGCAATAGCATTTTCAACCAGAAGTTTAAACCATCGTGCTATACACACCTCACACAAGGGGCCCTCATTGGGTTCCCTCAGCACCACGACGGCGAGGTGCAGTTCTTCCAATATATTACTTATATAAGATTATCTTATATATATATATATATATATATATATAAGATAACCTAATAAAGCTGCTTATTTTGAGCTCAGCATGTGTGTCGCAGAAGGCACCCATAGAAGAAGGCTATGGCCTGGGTCAAGGCCATGTTCTCTGTGGTCATACGATGGTCTTGCATGTGTTATATGGCTTCTTTCCTGATACGCAAACAAGAAAACTACGTACAAATGCGTACAAACTTACATTGTCAACGAGACAATATCAAAAACTGACCTGACCGTAGGTCACTGACCTCGTCTGTTTCGAGAAATCCGATATAAGAAGACTTAAGGTTGATAATTTGCTAATACTATAGCAAATTTGAGCAATGGCAAATATCTCACAAAGCTATGTGTAGTCAAAGTTTGTCGGAGTTTGATCTCTTTCACCTGACCTAGGTCACTTATCATGGTAGTCCAAAACTTTTTAGTCACACAAAGGATGTCCAATCGGTAGATAATCAGGTACCACAAATTGTGTGTTGTTTTGGGCGTTCGCCATTGAACTATGCTCGAAAAGCCGCGGGTGGGGGGAGTCAGCTCTCCCCCAAGGCGGGCGCGGGCTAACTGACAATTGTAAACCGCCGCACATAATGCGGGGTCCTCGACAGCAGCTGGTCATCAGTATGCAGCCCCAGCTGCCTCTGTCGAGCGGCCAGCTGGGGCTCAGCTTGAAGCCAACCGACACGTTCCGATCGGATGAGCCCAATTGTAACCCACCGCTCGCAGTGAAAATCGTCCCCTCCCGCATCTGTTCGGCCAGACGGGCTCCAAACGAAATTCATCGGGCTCAAGCCAAACGGGCTACATGGGACTGGACTCATCAGAGAAACCGGGCACATCGTCGTGGTAATGGAGCGAGCCCGCATGCCGAGATACGTGCCGGAACAATTACATGCATGGAAAGACAGGACATAAAATGTTCTATATCTCCTCCAGCCTGTTCCGTTCCATCCAATCATCAGGACGTGGGTGGGTGGCCAGGCGCGGGTAAGTTTCAAACTTATTTTAAACCTCCTAGAAGTTGACAGCTTTCGACCGGCTTATCTTTCTAGGCATGCTTATCCGCTGTCGGATAGGGATATTATCCGCAGCCCACCGCTCGGAGCTTCATGTCATCGTATGGACGGACAATTCTGTTTACATCGTGTGCGTCCGAAATCCGGTCACGACTCACGAAGTATCACTTCCCCAAAGTGAAGGGATCACAATGGCCGCTGCTGCTGACACAGATGTTAAGTGGTAACGGATTGGACGCATTGGTGGTACTATAGGTGGAAGGGCATTTAGCTGCCAAGGTTCCGACCGTTCGCGTGGGCCACTGGCTTTGAGGCTCTCCCCAATACCAATGTTTTCCTATTGCGTTAGATGCTGGCGAGTTTTGGGCTTGTCCAATAAAAGGGTTTGTCATATTTCCAAGGCGTCTGTTTTCATCTTAACTAAGAAATGTTGATTTCTCGCTTGGAACGAAAAACATTCGCGTCATTTAAGACATATATCGAAGCAGATAGACTGCAGCGAAGCGCACGAAAATAGAGGGAGAAGAAAGGAGAAGTTCGAAATTAAGGCGAACACTTTTTCAAGCGTCTCAATAGAAGCGCTGCCACTGACGTTAGGATTCAGACCTTGGAAATTGCATTGGAGATTAATCTTAGCTGAGTATTCGGAATCGCCGGATTTCAATGGGTTCGAAAATATCAGAATATTACCAATCTTAGAATCCTGAATGCAGGGAGTAAAGTACTGGAAGCCAGGACGGGCATCCTAAAAGCCGGCGTGAAATCCAGAAGGACATCGCCTGAATATTCAAATGAATATACCAAAATAGGTGGATGATATGAGCAAGCTCATTTTTATCCGAATAGATTAAGTGTAACAGTTCTATGTAGGTGCTGCATCAGACTGAATCGTGAGGGTATAGTTTCGCAACATGAGTTAGGTGAATTCACAACGAGAAACGGTAATCCTACCCCAGAATACGTCTACAGATGCGTTTCTCCCTGGATTTGGCCCACGTTCTTCTCAAAATCAGGGTGCCCGGGCCCAAGCTGGGCTGGGGGTAGGGGTTAATAGCCACTCCCAGCAGCTGGATGGGCGCGAAATGACCTAAGTAATCGGCGCGCACCGCATTCATCATCACACCCCTCCCAACCGAATAGGAGCCTGATCCCTGTTGAGTCGTCCGATCCGCGTCTGATAACACTTCGTTGGTTATTGTCGGACCAAGTTCAGTGGTTACTGTTCTTACTCCATTACCGCCACGTTTCGCTAGTTTACTTTTGAAGTGAAAGTAAAACAGCTCTTGCAACGACTCAGACAGTCAGGGGCAGCACCTCAGGCTATTGGCGGTGGGAGGGGCAGACAGAAAACCAGAATGCCCCCATACGTCAGAAGCCTCGTGAAGGTAGGCCTCCTCAAACGAACGAACAAAAATATACGGACGGTCACGAGAGTTACCTCGATTACTCAGCCCAGGTTTTAATTTTAAGGACATCGATCACCACGGCGTATATATAAGATGATCTAGGTGGGTTACTAGCTGAAAATTGATGCAAGAGGAGGTGGCATAGTGTTTATACAAACGCTAGTTTATGAAACTCGTTCTGGCGCGTTCAAAAAGCGATATCAAGAAGAAAGCTCAATTAATCCTGGTAGCCGTCACTTGCGCTTGTTTCCGAAACAAATTCTTGAGTTTGTCGTAGCCGTGCTTTAACGCCTGGTGATTTCGTTTTGAGGCCAGTCTATAACGCCTCCACAGGCTGATGTCAGTATCTCCCGGTATTCTTCTGGCCGATTTGGAAATGCGACAGCAGTAGAAGCATTGAGAGCTGTTAGCCAGAAACCAAAGCCAATGAAAAAGATTTAAAAAACGGGAACCAAAGACGCCCAAGTTTTGAGATTTCAACACAAATATTTAATCTATTCGAATCTTTTCGCATGCGGCGCCAAATCCAAATACACCCGCCCCACGGTACAATCCCACCTTGGAGCGAATCCCTGACTCCAGTGGAATCACTTGCATCCGATGCCGCCGTTGAAAAGAAACCCCTGATTGTGACGTCTTCCAGGTGGGCGTGTGACGCGTGAGGCACTCGGTGTGGAAATGGCAGAACACCATTAGAAAGCCCTTCAACACGCCATTTGCATGCCAAACGCACCTGCGTGGAATTAATACATGCCAGTCCATCAGTGTGAAAACGAATTACGGCACTCCGCCGGTGTGAAATCGAAACCCGCAGTCCACCGGTGTGACAATACAGTCAGTACATGACATAATGACCGTCGCTCGCTATATTAATGCCACGACTCAATATACAGTCA